GGAAGTCACAGAGATCCACCTGCCACTGCTTCTCAAGTGCTGGGATTAAAGGCATGTGCCACCACACCTAGCTCCAAAGATTTTTTTTTTTTCCTCTTTTTGAGACAGGGTCTCCCTGTAGCCCCAGCTGTCCTGGAACTCACTATGTAGACCAGGCTGGCCTTGAACTCACAGAGATCCACCTGCCTCTGGCTCCTGAGTGCTGGGATTAGAGGCATGTGCCACCACACCTGGTGATTTTTTTTTTTTAATTAAAAATTCAAGGTCCAAAAAACCCCCAGAAACAAGCTGGGCAAGTTCCAGGCCAGCTGGGGCTACAGAAAGTCCCCGTCTCAAAAAAAAAAACCTCCCCCCAAAATTAAGATCATCCTCAGCTTAATGTCGAGGCCAGCCTGGGCTACATGCACTACATGAGACAGACCATCTCAAAAAGAAGAAAGTAAAAAAGGATTTAGCAGGTGATAGTGGTATTTGCCACAGAGCATGATTTGCGTTCAATCCTGGGGACCCACATGGTGGAAGGAGACTGACTCCTGTGAGTTGTCCTCTGATCTCACACACACACACACACACACACACACACACACACACACACACACACACGTTAAAAAAAAATAAAAAACTGGAGCTGATGGCTCAACGGGTAAGAAAACTGGGTTCACAACACCACACACACACACACACACACACACACACACACACACACGTTAAAAAAAAATTAAAAACTGGAGCTGATGGCTCAATGGTTAAGAACACTGGGTTCAAATCCCAGCATCCACATGGCAGCTAAAAGCCATCTGTAACTCCAATTCTAGAAGATCTGATGCCCTCTTCTGTCTCCTGTGGGCATTCCATGACAAGGGTGCACTTACATATATGCAGGCAACACATTTATACACAAAACATACAATTTTCAAATATCAGTGACTAAAAGGCATGAAGGAAACCGTCACGCATTGCTAAGAAGCTAATCTGAAAAGGGTCTTCTGTCGCACGGTTTCAGCTACATGGCATTCCAGAAGGGGTCCGACTTCAATCAACTGTGCGTGTTACATGAGTGCTTCCACATCCTCAGTCTGCCGACGTAAAAGCAGAGATAGTAAAAGCACTCAGAGGTGGCTTGGCGAAGGAACAGCACAGCATTTAGGAGGCAGTGTAAGTACTGTTCTTGGTGGATCAGGATTCATACACTGACCAGAAGCACAGGCTGACACCAAGAAATCCTAGAGTGAACCCTGGGCTCCATGTGCGGATGCTCAGAGCAGGTTCACCACTCTTGATGTCTCAGGCTGGTGGGGAGGCTGTGTGTGTGTGTCTCAGGCTGGTGGGGAGGCTGTGTGTGTGTGTCTCAGGCTGGTGGGGAGGCTGTGTGTGTGTCTCAGGCTGGTGGGGAGGCTGTGTGTGTCAGGTAGGAAATCTTCACCTATTCAGTTTTACATGGACCTATAACTGCTCTAAATCTTAGTGAAAAAAGAAAAAAGAAAAACAAGCCCAAAACAAAGGTTTAGAAGGCACAGACTAAAATTATCTATGACTTCAGTTTAAACAGTAAGAGAGGGGCTGCAGAGATGGCTCAGTGGTAAGGATACTGGCTGCTCGCGCAGAGGACCCAGGTGTAGTTCTCGGCACCCACGTGTTGGCTGACCTGCTGTTACTCCAGTTCCAGGGTATCCAACACCCTTTTCTGGCCTCTGTGAGCTCTGAATGCACGTACATTCAGGTAAACACTCACATCATGTAAAACTAAAATTAAAATGTAAGAATAGTAAGGGAGGGGCTGGAGAGATGGCTCAGTAGTTAAGAGCACCAACTGCTCTTGCAGAGGACCCGGGTTTGATTCCCAGCACCTACATGGCGACTGTGAACCGTCCTTAACTCCAGTTCCAGGGGAATCCGAAGCCCTCTTCTGACCTCCACAGCATTGCACTACACAGGTGCACTCACATACATGCAGGCAATATACTCATACACATAAAATAAAAATATTTTAAAAAACAGTAAGAGAACTGAACTGGATTAGTCTCTGGATTTTCTTTTTTTCTTTGACTCTCCCTGTAGCCCCAGCTGGCCTGGAACTCACTATGTAGACCAGGCGGGCCTTGAACTCAGAGATCTGTCTGCCTCTGCCTCCCAAGTGCTGGGATTAAAGGTGTGTACCATCATGCCAGGCAAAGGCTGGGTTTTCTTAAATACCCAAATTAACATTTTTATTTCTGCTATATTCAGAAGTAGAGAATTTAATACTTAAAATGCAACTACATGAATTTCAAAGATCAATTTTTCAATGATTCAGTACATTCATATGGAAATTGAATAGTCAGAAGCAGGCCAAACATGGTGGCCTACACCTTTAATCCCAGCATTTGGGAGGCAGAGGCAGAAGCAAGTCGATCTCAAGTTTAAGGATGAACTGTCTACATGGTGAATTCCAGGCCAGCCAGGGCTACATAAGGAGACCCTGTCTCAAAAAATAAAAAACCACATTTATAAAGCTTTTGGACTCTAAATATAAGCATAAATTATACAGAAACACAGGGTGACTCATTAGACACTGTTTCACCAGCAGCTTGCTTGCTGGTTAATAAACTACAGAAAATGACCATGAGTCAATTAGTCATGTTCACACCTAAACCAAAATGCTCCTATCTATTGATGGATGCCAACTTTAGGACCAAAATTTAAGAAAGGATTAAATTAGGTTGTGAATACTAATTAAAAAAATTTTTTTAACATTTATTGTGTATACACATGCTATTAACATGTGGTTAGACAACTTGTGGGAATCAGTTCTTTCAGTGTACCATGTGAGTCCTAGAGATTGAACTCAGGCTTGGCCACAAGCACCTTTAACAGCTGAGCCATCTTGATGGGCCAACATCAGATTTTGATGACCTTCTGCTGATAATTTTTTTTCTAACACTAAGAAGTTGGCAAATAACTGCTTAATATTTGATAGGAAAGAGCAAGCCATGGGAAAAGCAATTTATGAAATTCAGAGATTTGGTCACCAGGACAGTTACAAACGGTGCCAAATCCTCACACGTAGCTGAGTTTTTGTGTAGGTGTGTTTAGTACTGACCAACCAGGAGGAGCACCTGAGTTGTCAGGGTAGGTCTGGCTAGTTGAGGCTTGGACAAGCTTTTGGGTGCCAAGTCCCTCCAGACAGATGAAGCTAGATTCAAATCAGCTCCAGCTTGCTCACAAATGAACAACACAAAATGATCACTATCCTTTTCATTCAAAAGAAAATTGAAGCCACACTTACTGCTGCGTGTGAATCCCCAGTGTTTCTCAGCTTGCCATACTTTTGGTTTTTAAAAGATAAATGATAGCAGATGATGTTATTAAGGCATTAATTTCCCAAGAATCAAATTAGATTACTGCCATACTTTATGACACCATGACTAGGGACATAAATATTACAGAGGCCCCACAATTGTCCTAAATCCCAGGATCATGAAATAAGACAATTTAGTGATTATTAAATGGGAAATTGGGATAAATGTTCTGAAACTTTAGTTTTTTTTCTTTTCTCATTTGGATTTTCTTTTGGTCTTTTTGAGACAGGCTCTCTCTGTAGCCCCAGCTGTCCTGAAACTATGTAGACCAGGCTGGCCTTGAACTCACAGAGATCCTCCTGCCTCTGCCTCCCAAGTGCTGGACTACAGGCATGCACCACCACGCCTGGCTCTCATTTGTATTTTTAAAAAACGTACAGACCACACTTCATTTAAAAAACCTTAAATAGGGGCTGGAGAGATGGCTCAGCAGTTAAGAGCACTGACTGCTCTTGCAGAGGACCCGGGTTCAATTCCCAGCACCCACATGGTGGCTACGAACCGTCCTTAACCCCAGTTCCGGAGGAATCCGAAGCCTTCTTCTGACCTCTGCAGCAATGCACAACACAGGTGCACTCACATACGTGCAGGCAATACACTCAGACACATAAAATAATAAAATATTTTTTTAAAAAAAACCTTAAAAACTTTCTAACATTTTCTATTTTCTGACTGAAATTTAAAAAATACTTCCAAAATTTGCTTATGTTAATTAATCTTAGATGTTAGATGATAAAACTAATTTTTGTTCCAATTTTGTGAAAAAAAAATTTAAACTATAAAACTTACTGAGGGTGGCTTTAATTCTTGTCTGAACGAGACCACGGAAGTGAAGTTACTGGAGTTAATGAACTGGGAACATTAAAGATGAAACTAGACCTTAAGTAAAGGCCCCGAAAAAACCTTACAAAAATGACTTGATGAGCCAAGTCTGGTGGAACAGGCCTATAATCCTAGCTATGTGATTAATTTAGGCAGGAGGACTCCAAGGAGTTCAAGGCCTGCTGGGCTACAGAGTTCGGTGCCAGCCTGAGCAACCCAGTAAGACCTTGTCTCAAAAAAACTAACTGGGGATCTAGCTCATGAGAGAGCACTCATCTAGCATGTATGATGCCCGGGTTTAGATTCCTGGTACAACAAAAATAGTCATGTGTTAAGTTCATACAAAGAAAGCTGGTGGCAGGGGGGAGGTAAAGGAACAGAAAGAAAAAAAAGTGGTAACTCCGGTAACAGCATTTAAGAGAGAACAGCTTACGCTGATGGAGTCATTTGGTCAAGCCAGGCGTGGGGATGCACACCTGTAGTCCTAGCACTTGGGAGGTGGAAGCAGGAGGATCAGAAGTTAAAGGTCATTTACCACTACATAACAAGTTCCAGGTCAGCCTGGGCTACATGAGACCATCTAAAGACAAAAAAAAAAAAAAAAAAAAAAAAAAAAAAAAAAAAAGCCCATGTCTACCATGTATATACATATCACTCCATATACATCCTAACTACAGGCTTCCTGCCACAACACCAAAACACAAACCACAATTCTATCCAGAACATTCTGACATGTTCTATGCTGTTTCTTTATCCCAGTAAGTCAGCAATGGCTTTACACACAACTTTTCATCAACACAAGTCAAATCACTGCCCCAGGAAGCAGAGGTAACTCTGGAAGTGAACACACACATTCTGCTTTATTACTGTTATATGGTTGTTAGTTGAATAAAAACTGCTTGCAAGTTTTCAAATGAAAGGAAACATACTCGGGTACGTTATGACACGCATCTGTATGTATTCAGACAATGGAAATGCAGTATATCTTCACACCAGTTACAAATGCAGAGTTACAATGAAACCAGATGGAGAAGGCAGAGGGGCCTCAAACACTCACTATTTGAACATTTCAGACAAAGGAGCAGAGAATAAGAAAAAACATATACACCATGAAAACAGTCTTTTTTCTTTTAATGACTTTCAATTTCGTGTCTTTTCTAAGAGCAGAGACCCTCATTGTAGATTATGTATCATCTCCTCTTTGGCAATAAGGTGTGTAGTCTTGTTAACCAGAGACATCAATGAGTTCAGTTTCTGAGACCAGTCATTTAATAAGTTATTTGGATCCTTGGGTCTCTGGAAGTTGATAATTCCGGCCAACCTGTCTACTTTAGCAAAGATGGTCTTGTTAACGACTAGATTTGAAAGAAAAGCCTCAGACTCCTGTAAAACAGAGACACGATGGATTAAGACAGGATAAAGGAAACTTCAGGGAAGCATTTTAAAAACTTTCCAACCAAGAATACCCAAGACTGACAACAATGATGTACTTACAACATTTTATCAGTCTAATGACCAAGGGAATATGAGTCTCTTATTCACACATCTACAATCTCAGCACTGGGAAGTAGAAGCGAGAAGATGAGCACAGGAGGCCGGTCTGGACTACAGTCAGACCCTGTCACCAACCAACCAACCCACCCCACCTCAGAGTGTTCAGAATCAGGCCAGAGTCTGAACAGGCCTCCCTGCAGACTGTTCCTGGTGGTGGTTGGGAAACAGCTGGCTTACTCATTTTTACAGTCATTCCCTTCTCTTTTGCCTGTGGTGTTAGGAGTCAAACCCAAGGCCTCTCACATGCTAGCAAGCACTCCATCACTGAGCTGGATGCCCAGCCTTACTTAAAAGGTGCTATGAGCTTGGCATGGTGGCACATTCCTTTAATCCCAGCACTGGGGAGACAGAGGCAGGTGAATGAATCTCTGTGAGTTCCAGGCCAGCTGGGGCTACAAGGACACCCTGTCTCAAAATGACCAAAAAAATAAAAGAGGTGCTATGATATAGCTGTTTCCACAAATGCTGAGTAGAATGTATGCTCTGTTACCCAGCAAGTCTGCATTCACAGATAAGCCACTTTAAAGGACTCTGTTCTGCTCCTGAGAATGAGCCATCTAACCAAGAGTCATGTTATTTTATGTGTATGAGTGTATTGCCTGCCTGTATGTAAACGCACCCTTGTTGTGCACTGCCCTCAGAAGCCAGAAGAGGGCGTCAGATCCTCTGAACTGGAGCTGCAGAAGGCCGTGGGTGCTGAGACTCGAACCCAGGTCCTCTGTAAGGGCAGTCACTGCTCTTAACCGAGCCATCTCTCCAGCCCAAGTCAAGCCTTTGAACTTGAATATTGTCATGATTCTAAATCTTGTTTATCTTTGAGTCAGGGTCTATGTAGCAATGGCTGGCCTGGAACTCACAGAGATCCACCTGCCTCTGCCTCCTGAGTGCTGGGATTAAAGTTGTGTGCCAACAGGCCTAGCTCATGATTCTTCTTTTCCAGCTGAACTGTCACAAAAGAAATGGCCTTTCCCCACCTGTGTTGAGGCCAGACTTTCAAAAGATCTCAGTGAGGGAGCATTTTTCCCTACAAAATCCTGACCCATGAGCAGATTATTTAGGAATGATTCAGAACCAGGTTCTACACTAACAGACGTTATGGAACAGATGTTATGGACGGTGGGAGAGGGCCGGCCCCTTTCTGGCCACACCCCATTTCCTAGGGCACAAGACCCAGGTCCCAATTGGGCTTTTTAGGGGAAAAAAAGACAGGGCCCCATGTATGACAGGTTGGCTTCAGACTCCAGATCCTCCTCCCTCCTAAGTGTGGGATTCCAAGCATGTGCCAGGATGTCTACCTTTACCTCTTTGTGTCTTTCTGTGTGCTGTCAACATAAATGCAAATGTGAATGCGATACATCTCTAACAAACACTGGCACCATTTATAGTGAGCCAGTCACATCTACTTCATAAATGTTAATTCCACAGACCATTTGTGTGGTAATTTGAACACTGGATTTATGAACACATTGTGGATTTCAGATTAATCCATGTAAAATTAACATTTAAAGGATGCATTTGGTGTACTGGGAATTGAACCCTGGACCCCGAACCTCTAAATGAAGGTTTAACATAAACAAGAAACAGCTCTTGCACACTCCCTTTTTACAAGCTGACTGCCACACACAATGGTCACAGAAAACACTCACAAGGCACTGAGTACTTACATCCACAGAGAGATCCAGAAGCTGTGCCATCCTCTTCACTGTTATCCGAGTGTAGTACTTGGCCATTATTCTGATGTTCTGGCAAAAGACAAACAACAGTTCAGCAGGTTCGAAAGCCAGCCAGCTGTTTCATCAGACTCAGAGTTTTCACTTTGTAATGCCTATCATTAGAAAGAAGCTGGTACTAAACTTAAAAACAAAACAACACTGAGTAAACTTTAGCTTCTGTGAACTTGTTATTTTATCTAACTCAAAGCTGGGTGTCCAGGTGCACCTGGAGGCTGGTTCATCTACACAATAAGTTCCAGACATGTCAGGACTAAACAATGGGACCCTGCCCAAAAAACAATTCTTAAATAAGCAGGGGTGGGGTGTGTGGAGGGAAGGTGGAATTCAGAGGTTTAAGAATTCAAGGAGAGCCTTTGCTACAGTGAGTTCAGAGGACAGTCTAGACTACCCTGTCTCAAAAAAACAAAACACACAAATAAATTACATTCCCTAGTTTCCATGGGGAATGGTGAAGTGAGACAGATACCCCTTTACTATTCATTAACATTAGTGTTCTTAACAAAACATCAAGACTTGCCAAGCATGGTGGCTCACGCCTTTAATCCTCACACTTGGGAGGCAGAGGCAGGCAGGTCTCTGTGGGTTCAAGGACAGCCTGGTCTACATAGTGAGTTCCAGTCCAGCTTGGGTTACAGGGAGACCCTGTCTCAAAACAGTCTCAGCAGTCCTCCTGCCTCAGCTTCTTGACTGCTGGGATTAGTGTGAGCCAGCACACCTGGCTATCTGCGCTGAAAAGTCGCAAACAGGAGAAAAACAGACAAACAAGGTAAGATGGATTCTGGCACATCATGAAGAATGGGTATTTCAACAGGTTTCTATCACTGCTGCATTGAGCACAGGGGCAAAAGTCCTGAAGTGAAGATTTATAAACACAGGGCCAGACAGATGGCTTGGTGGCTGACTGCTCTTGCAGAGGACCTGGGCTCAGTTCCCAGCACCCAATCAGGTGGCTCGTAACTGCCTGAACTCCTGCTCCAGGGGATCTGAGGTCCTCTTCTGACCTCTGGGTCACCTGTACTCACACATATACATATCCACATACATACATACATATCCACATAATTAAAAATAAAAAAATAAATCTTAAGTAAAAATCAGGGCTGCATATTGAGACCCTGTCTCTACCCCACCTAGTCAAAAAATTGTCATCTTTACATGCCAGACTCTTACATGCTCAACGACTCTGTTCTTCAAGTCCTTCCACCTTTTTTCACCTTCTTCTGTAGAACTGAAAACATCAGTTGCAGGACTCTCAAGGGAACCTTTCCGTAACTCCATCCCATAGTCCTCAACAAGTGTGGACCAGCGCATCAACTCCATTGTGGTAAAAAGCTTCAAAAGATCCCTGTAAATTTTATACAACTTAGTATTCTGAATCTATAATCAGTAAGGACCACCTAATATAGGCTAAGTATCTCTAACCCCAAACCCCAAATCCAAAGCGCTCCAAAACCTGAAACTCTTTTCATTACATCTATTTTTTTGTGTGTGTATGGGTATGTACTGCGGGTACACATGCTCCATGGCACGTGTGAGAACTGGCTCTCTACTTCCCCCATATGGGTAGAGACTGGACTCTGGTCAGGGTTGGCTACAAGCACTGTTACCTGCTGGGCCATCCTGCAAACCCCAAATCTGAAATTTTCTGAGTGCTGACATGTTGCCAAGTAGAAAATTCCACACCTAACCTTATGTATCTGAAGGTAGAATGAGAAGTTTAAAATGTTAAACTTACATGTGGTTACGTATAAGAAAGTGATGCTCACTGGCAGCACAGAGTCGCAGAACCAGGAATGCAATGAGACAGAGAGAGTTCTGCCTTCTGCTGGCTCAATGAACACAAGCTTGTGTTTCATGCACAAAGTTAAAATACCACAGAAAATTAACTTCTAGCTACGTGGATGAGATCTTTTTTTTTTGAGACAGGGTCTCCCTGTAGCCACAGCTGGCCTGGAACTTGCTATGTAGACCAGGCTGGCCTTGAACTCACAGAGATCCACCTGCCTCTGCCTCCCAAGTGCTGGGATTAAAGGTGTGTGCCACCATGCCCAGCTAGTGGATAAGGTTTCTATGAAACAGCAATGAACTTTGTTTAGACTTGGGCCCCATCCCTAAGACTCCATACTGTACACATGCAAAGATTTCAAAATCTGAAAAACTTCTGGTGTTAAGCATTTCAGATGAGGGAGTCTCAGCCCGTGTTACAGTAAATTAAACACACACACACACACACACACACACACACACACACACACACCCCAAACTATTTCATCACTTTTACTTAGAATATGACAAATTTGATTTTTACGAAGTGTTTGTCTTTTTTTCATGATTCTGAAGAGCATTCTATGTCACACTCTGTGCTCTCCTTGGTCTACCTGTCAACTTTTGAACGAACTATAAACATACTAAACACAGAAAAGAAAAAAAGTTATCTTAAAAAAATTTATTTTTGTATATGAATGTTTTGTCTGCATGTAACTGTACCCCTGTCCTGCAATGCCCAGAGAGGCCAGAAGAGAGTGTCGGATTCCCTTCAAGACAGATGTCAGCCATCATGTGGGTACTGGGAATTGAATCCAAGTTCTCTGCAGGGGCTAGTGTTCTTAACAGCTGAGCCATCTCTCCAGGCCCAAACAACTCTTAAACAATAGTCCATAACCCTTCAGATGAAGCACACCTGCTTCACATATGACACACTTTCAGACTGACATTCCCGAACACCACGAAGCCCCAGGGCATTGATGTAGTTTGTTCTCTAATCTAGCAGCAGCTGTATATAGCTAGAGGGATTGACTTCCTTCTAAGGTGATACTTCTACAGAGATGTCCTTTACCAGTTACAAAGATACTTACTTGTACTTGGGAATTTCTTCTAACTTCTTGTCACTACTAATCCGATGAACCAAATCTGACTGCTCATTGTCAAAAGGAGCCAGGATAACATAGAGAACCACGCTTTTCAAAGCCTAAAAAAGTTGCAAGCAATAGTTTATATGTAACTGGAAACATAATGAGACTTTGGTAAGACGTAAAAAATTATGCAAGTTATATGTTCTAATTTTAAATCTTGTACTCAAAAAGACTTAGAAGGAAAAAAAAACCTTAACAGGCTGCCTTTCACATATATTTTGGTAACACTTAGTTTTCACAAAACTATTACAATAAATATTTACTATTATGAATTACTTCTTTTTTTTTTTTTTTTTGTCTTTTAGAGACAGGGTCTCTCTCCTGGTAGCCCCAGTTGTCCTGGAACTCACTAAATAGACCAGGCTGGCCTTGAACTCACAGAGATCCACCTGCCTCTGCCTCCCAAGTGCTGAGACTAAAGGTGTGCACCACCAAACGCGGCCTGACTTTTTTTAAAAAGACTTACTTGTGTTTGTGTGTGTGTGCGCCTGCCTGAGAAGCCAGAAGAAGTTCTAAAAGCATCGTCTTACCTGTTGCCACTTCTCACTTTCTGCCTGTATACAGGGAGTATCGTAGATGGCTCTGTAGTGCTTACAGATCGACAGATAGGATCCCTCATGCTGATCCAGCTGAATCATTAAATTATAGTACTTCAATTTTAATTTCTGAAAAAAAATTGACAAAATAAACTAGGGCTTGTGGGTTTTAACGCTTTCAATGAAAACATGTAGTCAAGAGACAATGCTCACCTCTGTATTTTCTTCCTGGAAGAATTTGGTGTTAATTTTCTTGCTGATGATTTGTGTGCGGATGTAATCCTTCACAGCTAGGCAAAGCCTCATCTGCTCCAAAATAAACTCCACTCGCTCCTTTTTCTCCATTGATCCGTATGTCTCTACCTAGCAGAGTAATTCCTCAGGTAAGTTTAAAATACTTAGTATTTTTCATAAATCGCAATAAAGTAGATATTAAACTATTCAACCATGTCAAATATCAAAACTTTATTCATGGGGCTGGAGAGATGGCTCAGCAGTTAAGAGCACTGACTGCTATTGTAGAAGACCCGTGTTCAATAATTAGCACCCTCATGGCGGCTAACAAACGTCCGAACTCCAGTTTCAGGGGATCTGACACGCTCTTCTGACCTCCTCTAGCATCACATGACACAAGTACACTTATACACATGCAGGGAATATACTCATACACATAAAATAAAAATAAATATTAAAAAAAAACTTTATTCATGTACAGTGTTGGTAATTATATAAAAAACCAAGTTATAGCAGTGGAGAGATGGCTCAAGAGTTAAGAGCACTTGCTGCTGTTCCACAGGGCTAGAGTTTGGTGCCCAGCACCCATGTTAGGTAGCTCACAACTGCCTGTAACTCCAGCTTACAGGGGGATTCAATGGCCCCCTCTGGTCTTTGTGGGCACCCTCAGACATGTGACGCATGCAAACACACACATCTTTAAAAAAAAGCAAATTACCTTCAGGAACGTAAGAGTTTATGAATTATAATAACAAAAAGGAGTTTTACCCCTGTTGGTATAAAGTTCTACAAATTTTTTTTTTTTTGTCTATTTGAGATCCCTGTAGCTCCAGCCGTCCTGGAACTCACTATGTAGACCAGGCTGGCCTTGAACTCACAGAGATCTGCCTGCCTCTGCCTCCCGAGTGCTGGGATTAAAGGCATGCACCACCATGCCCGGCATAAAAAGTTCTACAAATTTTAATACATGTATTGATGTATATAACCACTACTACAATGAAGACACAGAATGCTATTATCAAGCCAAAAAAATGTTTTTGTTTTTTTTTTTTTTTTTAATGTGTATGCGTGTACTGCATGTGAGTACACCCATGTTGTGCAATGCCCTGGAAGTCAGAAGAGGGCTTCCCCTGGAACTAGAGTTAAGGACGGTTCAAAGCCACCATGTAGGTGCTGGGAATCGAACCTGGGTCCTCTGCAAGAGCAGTCAGTGCTCTTAACCGCTGAGCCATCTCTCCAGCCCCCCAAAATGCATTTTTAAAAAATTTTATTTATTATTTTTATGAGTGTATTGCCTGCCTGTTTGGAGGTGTACCCGTGTCGCACAATGCCCACAGAGGTCAGAAGAGAGAGTGGGATCCCATGGAACTGGAGTTAGGGCAGTTGTTAGCTGCCATGTGGGTGCTGGGAATTGAACCTGGATCCTCTGCAAGGGCAGTCAATGCTCTTAACCACCGAGTCAACTCTACAGCCCCAAAGAACGTGTTTTTAAAAAATACTTTTGTGTTTATACAGAGTGCAATATTGTGTAACTGTATTAATTCAACTGTAAACCTAAAAATTTACAGCCAGTTTTGAAAGAGACGCATCTTAGCTCTGGAGATTGTTAATTGAATATGACAATGCTGTTTCTTCTGTCCTCCATGGGCACTGCAGGCCATGGATGTACTTACCTACATGCAGGCACTACATGCATACACATAAAATAAAAATATTAAAAAAAAATTTTTGTTATTTTATGTTTATGAATGTTTTGTCTACATGTATGTACATGCACCAATCTCATGTAATGTCCCCAGAGGCCAGAAGAAGTGGCTGAATCCCCTGGAACTGGAATTATAAATGGTTGTTAGCCACCATGTGGGTGCTGGGAACTGAACCTGGGTCCTCTGCAACGGCAATCAGTGCTTTTAAACCCTGAGCTATCTCTCTACTCCCCCAAAGAACTTTCTTAATGCTACCCTGTATAGCCATAGATTCCCTACTCATAAGCTCTGACAAATAAGTGGTGGTCTGTTTTCTATCAGCACAGAATTGTCAAGAATGTCAAAGAGGTCACGTGTGGGGGTGCATGCCCTTAATCCTAGCACTCTGGAGGCAGAGGCAGGTGGATCTCTGTGAGTTCAACACCAGCCTGGTCTACATAGTGAGTTCCAGGCCAGCTGGGGCTATCGTAGACCTTGTCTTAAAAAAAACAAAAAAAAAAAAAAAAAAAAAAAAAAAAAAAAAAGTCAGCTGAAGTAATTCATTATTGTAAACATTTATTGTAATAGCTTTGTCAAAACTACTTATATAGTAGTTGTCAAATATACTTATATAGTTTATCAAGACTCTATTCAAGCCAAGCATAGTGGTACATGCCTTTAATCCCAGCAGGGAAGCAGGTGGATCTTTGTGAGATTGAGGCCAGCTTGGTCTACATAGTGAGTTCCAGGCCAGCTACGGCTACAGGGAGACCCTGTCTTAAAAAGACCAAAAAAACCCAAAAGCAAAAAAAAGACTCTTCATTTCACATACTGTCTGTAGTTTCCTATCAAAAACATATCCCCACCCCTCAATCTTGATTTTCTGAGAATTCAAATGTTTAGATAATGGTACAAAAATTAAGGCAAATCTGTTGATTCTAACTTTTCTTCCAACCGTACTTAGCAGTTTCCAGGAGCACCTTACCTGCAACTCTTGTAGAATGGAGGCTGCCTCTTTCACATCACCATTCTGCTCTTTTATGGTTGCTAATGTTTTAGTCAGTCGAGCGCGCTCAATTTCAACATAAATCTACAAACAGAAATTGGTATTATCAAAACTCTTGTAGGAATGTGTTAAAAATTTGAAAAGCATAATTGAACTATTAATCAAAGTAGGCAAGAGTCATCTCCTACTGCTGAACACTGTATTGTCCACACACAATGCCACCAGACCTTTTACATCTCACAAACACAACCAGAACCATAATGAGAGAAAATGCCTGTATAAAAGCACCGTGGTGGCGCACGCCTTTAATCCCAGCACTTGGGAGGCAGAGGCAGGCCAATCTATGTGAGTTCAAGGCCAGCCTGGTCTACATAGTGAGTTCCAGGACAGCTGGGGCTACAGGAGACCCTGTCTTTAAAAAAGACCAAGAAAAAAAACAAAAAACAAAAAACAAAACCCCAAAAAACAATATGCAGGGCTGGAAAGAGGGCTCAGCAGAGGCCTGGAGTTTGGATCCCAGCACTCACTAATGGGCAGCTCACAAAAGCCTGTGACTCCAGTTTCAAAAGATCTGATGCCCCTTTCTGGTCTGCACACAATTGTGCATGCACACACACAATTTTTTTAATTAATGTTTTTTTCCTTTTTTGGTTGTTTTGAAACAGGTCTTCCTGTAGCCCCAGCTGGCCTGGAACTCACTATGTAGACCAGGCTGGGCTTGAACTCACAGAGATTCACCTGCTTCTGCCTCCCAAGTGCTGGACTAAAGGTGTATATCACTCCTCCTGGCTCTGATAGTTGGGGTGTTTTTTTTGGTCTTTTTGAGATGGGGTCTCCTTGTAGTCCCAGCTGTCCTGGAACTCACTATGTAGACCAGGTTGGCCTTGACCTCACAGAGATCCACCCGCCTCTGCCTCCCAAGTGCTGGACTAAAGGTGTATATCACTCCTCCTGGCTCTGATAGTTGGGGTGTTTTTTTTGGTCTTTTTGAGATGGGGTCTCCTTGTAGTCCCAGCTGTCCTGGAACTCACTATGTAGACCAGGTTGGCCTTGACCTCACAGAGATCCACCCGCCTCTGCCTCCCAAGTGCTGGACTAAAGGTGTATATCACTCCTCCTGGCTCTGATAGTTGGGGTGTTTTTTTTGGTCTTTTTGAGATGGGGTCTCCTTGTAGTCCCAGCTGTCCTGGAACTCACTATGTAGACCAGGTTGGCCTTGACCTCACAGAGATCCACCCGCCTCTGCCTCCCAAGTGCTGGACTAAAGGTGTATATCACTCCTCCTGGCTCTGATAGTTGGGGTGTTTTTTTTGGTCTTTTTGAGATGGGGTCTCCTTGTAGTCCCAGCTGTCCTGGAACTCACTATGTAGACCAGGTTGGCCTTGAACTCACAGAGATCCACCCGCCTCTGCCTCCCAAGTGCTGGACTAAAGGTGTATACCACTACTCCTGGCTCTGATAGTTGGGGTGTTTTTTTCGGTCTTTTTGAGACAGGGCCTCCCTGTAGCCCCAGCTGTCCTGGAACTCACTATGTTGACCAGGCTGGTCTCGAACTCACAAAGATTGGCCTGCCTCTGCCTCCCAAGTGCTGGGATTAAAGGCGTGCGCCACCATGCCCAGCCTATAGTTGAGTTTTCTGTTTTTTTTTAAATTACATTTATTTTAGTGTGTAGGCATTATGCCATGGAGCATACATGGAGGTCAACTTGTAGAAGTCAGTTCTTTCCTACCACATGGGTCCCAGGGAATAGACTCAGGTAGTCAGTCTATGGCAAGAAGCTTTACCTACTAAGCTATCTCAGTGGCCCACTTAGCTATCTTTATATACAATTTCCTCATATCTAAAACGTCCTGGCCATGTAGAATTTTGGCTCTTTAAAAAAATATATTATTGTTATTTTATGTGTATGAGTGTATTGCCTGCATGTATGTAAGTGTACCTGTGTCATACAACACTCACAGAGTCAGAAAAGGCATCAGATCCCCTGGGACCAGAGTTATACAAAGTTGTTGGCTACCATGTGGGTGCTAGGAACTGAACCCGGGTCCTCTGCAAGAGCGGCCAGTGCTCTTAATCACTGAACCATCTCTCCAGTTCCTTGACTCATTCTTAAAAAGTCACATAACCCAGCTGGACATGGTAGAACATGCTTTTAATCCCATCACTTGGGAGGCAGAGGTGGGTGGATCTCGCTAAGATCAAGGCCAGCCTGGTCTTTATAGCGAGTTTCAAGCCAGATGTGGCTACAGGGAGACCCTGTTTCAAAAAGAACCCCCCCCCAGTAACCCAGTACCCAAAGTAACCCAGTTACTCAAGAGGCCAAGGCAACAGGATCACAAGCTCCATGTCAGGCTGGGCTACACAGTAAAACCTTATCACATACACACACACAACCCCCCAAAAACCTGGTTATACAAAGAATACTGCTATTTAAATATATTAATTCACTTACAGCAAGATATTTAAAAGTTATACAAAGATAACAATGGTTGAATTAAACCATTTATTTCTTTTTAAAAAATATAAAATATACATACAAATACTTAGATGAAATGTATAAATACTTAGCCTTCTCTGGATGCAGATAAGAAGTTATCCAACAGAAAACTCACCTTTCCTTCTGTAACCATCCGTAAAGTATCAATTAATCGAAGTTTGACTGGGAGGTCTGTGATCTCCTCAACGTAAGTACAGCACTGCTGAACCATTTTTGCAACAGCCTAAAATATTACAAACCATTTATAAGTGAAATTCATTCTTCATACAGGAAAAACATATATTCTACTGATCATTTTTGGTCGTCTCAAGTAACATGAGACGCTAAAATCACTATAGTAGAATAAAGCGCATCAAGACCTCCCCATAGTAAAATACTGACTGTCCACTAACAGTATAATGCAGCCAAGCAGAAGAGCATGGAAAAATGGCAGCAGACCAATGAGGGAAAAAGGGAAGAACAGAATCCCCTGGTGAACAGGGGGCAGAGGCAGAAGGTAAACAGACCCATTCTCTGGAGGGGAGGAGCCAGGTCCCCTTACCCTCTTCAATTAACAGGCACCATGGAAAGGTTCCTCATGGGTTATAAAAGGGTTTAGACCATGTTCCCCTAGGTCTAACAGTCTGTGATTTGAGTCAGGACAGTCATTTTCCATATACCTTAACAAAGATTTGTAAGTGACTACTCTAGGTTTTGTGGATTGTACAGTCTGTGACAAATATTCAACTCTGCCTTTGTAACTTGAAAGCTGACAGAGACAATATATAGGTACAAATGGATGTGGTTTTTTCCCACTTAAAGAATAGATGGCAGATGAGATTTGGTCAGTGGCCCAATCATTTGCTAACCTCTAAACTAGACTTTAAATAAATAACAGCAGATCATTGATAATAATTAGGGCTATGAGACACTAAGACAACACTGATTTGATGTTACATTATCATTATATTTTTTGTCTTTTTTTTTTTTTTTGAGACAGGGTCTCCTCCAACTAGCCTGGAACTCACTATGTATAAGGCCAAATTGGTCCACATAGTGAGTTCCAGGCCAGCAAGGGCTAACCAGCAAGAAAAAAGATAGCAAAAGTAAACCACATTATCATGGAAAAACTGCCATGATAAACAATGTTCAAGTAGCACAGGTTTTATTTTTCTGAAAAAAAAACAAAAAAAACAAAAAAAAACTGGCTGTAGAGACCCAGATGTTCCAGAAGGCTAAGGCGTTCTTTTTTGGTGGTGGTTGTTTTCCTATGTTGCTCAGGCTGTGCTTGAATTCCTGGGTTCAACTGGTCTTCCTGCTTCAGCCTCCAGAATGGTGGGCCTCATCAATGAGCAAGGCACACAGCTAAGCTAAAGGCTTCATTGTAAAATGTAACTCTTCCAATAAATGTTAAGATTCTGGAACAACTGGTACCTCACAAAACATAAATCCCTCCAAATAGATTATGGAATAATTTGTAAAAATGGGAGGGGATAGAGGCAAAACAATGTCCACATTGTAATGGAAAGTCAACAGCCTGCTGATCTATGAAAATATATAGGTGAGTGGTTAGGAAAGTTAAGGTTGGAGTGACCTCGGCTCAGGAGACAGAGAGTTAATGGGGGGCGGGGGGGATGGAGAGATTGCTCAGTGGTTAAGAGCACTGGCTCCTCTTGCAGAGGACCTAGGTTCAGTTCCCAGCACCCACATGGTGGCTAACAACCATCTGTAAATCCAATTTCAGGGGATCTGACACCCTCTTCCGGCCTCCACAGGCATTTGCATGACACGGGTACACTTACATATACATGCAGGCAAAACATTCATACACATAAAAATTTTTTTAAAAACCCGGGCATGGTGGTGCACGCCTTTAATCCCAGCACTTGGGAGGCAGAGGCAGGCGGATCTCTGTGAGTTCAAGGCCAGC